CGGACCCGATCCGAGGGGGCCAGAGTTTCGCCCCCTATAGTCAGCGATGGAATCAGCTGACTATGCCGAGGCGCCGGTAGCCACAGCCACTCGGTCTTGGACGGGTTGAGCCTGAGTCTGTTCCTCCCCATCCAGACCCTCACGGCCTCCAGACACCGGGCCATCACGTCAAGGGCATCGTTGGGGTGGCCCGGGGTGGTTGCCATGGATACTGAATATTAGTATCCTCTTGCATCTCTGTTGGGCCTCATAGTCAAGAGATAGAAAGAGATGGTTTCAATACACCAGATATTAATCTGCAGAACCATACTTGCATTAATTTGGATTCTTTAACTTTAGGATTTTTGCCAATTATAAGGCGAAGGGGAATTTCTTTCAGTTACCAGTCCCTATGCAGGAGCGTTCTAATTTTTTATGGTAGTAAAGTACAGTAGTACATTATACATAAAGATGTTTTTATCTTGGAATTAATTGATTTTAATATTGTAATGTACAGATGCACTTAGTAGCTTAATAATACATTCCCCAGAAAACACCTCCAAATTTGAAAAGTCAGAAACCAGTATCCCATTAGGCTTAAGGAGCTACTAACAGTAATGAAAAATCAATCAATCAAGTGCTCACTGAAACTCTTTGTATACTGTGATTGAGCTGACTTCTCTACCCACTGAAAACATGGACAAAGATATCTTTCCTTTAAATGCTATTTAACTCACAGTGTTCAAATTTCTCCTGTTTAACATGTAGGTAAAACCAAGTCATAACTATAACTTGGCTTAGGGTAAGGTGGGAAAATGGGAAACTATTACCATTTGATAATGTTGACTGTGCTGACAATATTCCAGCCGTTCTGACCAAGGTTCTTCTGGAACTGTCTCAGAACATCAGCTACTTTTGTTCCATGAGTTAAATGAACTTCCAGTGAGTCTTTTAAGAACAAGGAAGCCTGGATTTTGATAATTTTGCAAGGCTGAAAGAAAGGGACGGTAATAAAAGAGAGATGAAGAAAGAATAAAAAATGAATCCAAATGCCTGTAACAAGTATGGAGGTATATTGGAGTTATTCTTGCCTCCAAATTATCTGCTGTGTGTACACCTCCAGACAGTAAGAGCAAAGGGTAAGATTGCCATAAAGCAGGGATGTCAAACTGCCGGCATGGCAAAACTGCACCCACCCCATTGCTGGCAATGGAAAAAAAGTAGTGATACGTTGTGACACGTCACGTGACGTTGCGAGTTTGACACCCCGCCATAAAGAAATAATGATTAAAACCACTTTTTTCACATGTAAGAGAAGCGGTCTGAGTGCCTAGATCTGATAAAACAGGACTGCCCCCTTGTGTTTACATGAGGGAAAGGCCTTTCTTTTCTTGAAGGAATTTGTCACCAAAAAACACAGCCCAATTTCTTTTTCATCATGCAGGAATCACATGAAAGAAACTGCCTTGCAGGATTTTGACGTTCTTTTGCACATCAAAACTGAATGTACAACCCAAAGCCTTTAAAAAGTCACTTCAGAAGACAACAAAGTTATGCATGATTGTAACAGTTAGGAGAAGTAATACTGTGGGGCCATCATTTCATTTGTGTACATGTCTTGAATGTACTATTAAATCAGCCTCTAGGTACTCCTTGACTTACGACCACAGCTGGGATTAGAATTTCCATTGTCAATCACTGCAGTCATAGGTTGAGTCATCATGTGATCAGACCCGAGTTTATGACCATTTTACTATGGTTGTAAATCAAGTCACATGATTGTTAAGTGCAAAGCCATGTTAACCAATGGCATTTTTTTTTTTTGCCAGAAACCAGCAACAAACATCGCAAATTGTTATCACTTAACTGCAAGGTAGTGTAACTAGTCATAAAGGTGAACCGGTTGCCTAACATTCAATTTGCAATCACATGTTGGTTTCAAATTCAAATTTAGGTCATTACTGACCTTTTCAGAATCCATAATTAATTCAAACTGTTGTTAAGCAAATAGTCATAAGTTGAGGACCACATATATGGAGTTAGAACAGATGGATTTCATTTCTACCTTTTCCAGCTCCCCTCCTGTTCTCCAAATCATCCATGCTTACAATTGGATGCTAAAGCCCTACACATTCCAATATGAACAGATTCTCCCTATCACTTTCATTCACCAAAATTATTAGGGAGGATAGGTAGCTTTAGTCCCATTTATGATGTCTTAGTGATACAAAGTGGCTGGACAGAGAAGATCTCACTCACTTCAACATTGTTCTTTTCTGTCTTTTCCTTGTCTGCATGAATCTTTTTTAACAGATTCTTGATCCTCCTGTCGTAGAACTGATACTTCCAGCTGCTGTTCTCATTCAGTTTTCTTATTTGAGTTACCAAGAAAGAAGGAACCTAAAGCAAACATGAAAAATGACAAGTGTGCAAACTCTCAGTGATACAGTTCATTCATATGAGAAATCTCCATGAAATCATTCTGAATTATCTCTTGAAGATGGGAGAAACAAACAACCAATGTGTTTTTTTGATACGTTTAATTACATCTACTATCACCCTTTATAAGTCCAATTGTATCAGCCATTTGGCATTGGAAATTTCTTGGTTGCTTGAAAATGATAGTTCTTAGATCAGAGTTATTTATACATGAAGAACGATTTTGAATCTAAATAATGGAATTTGTAAATACTGTTAGCATGAAACAGAAAGTGAAAAGAGGTTATTTTAAATACTAAAAGTATCCTTTTAATCAACACTTTTCTCTTTATGGAAAAATATTACATTAAGTTTTTGCTAATGATAATTTAAGAATGACTTGGTAAATAAAGTTTCCCCTAACTTACAGTCCAGAGCAAAGCTTGATAATGGATCATCATTCGAACAATATCTGCTGCTCCTTCTGCCAGCTGCTTCTCTTTTCCTTCTGGGATCTTGCTTGGCAAACTCTTGTGCATGAAGAGGTTTGGAGCAATCACTGTGGAAACATTCCAGAGGCTCATCTTGTTTTTTCTTTCTCTGGTAACTACCAGCTTAAGGAATTCCAGTAGTGCCTGAGAGAGGAGAGAATTATTTGATTCCAAAGAGACTGAATATTAAGGACTGCTTACTGATGATACGTATCTGCTGCCCAAATCTGCAAACTGAGCCGAGTGAGTTGTTCAGTGTTATGATCCTTCTAAAAAGTTATGGGAGAAATACTTTGCACATCAAAAATATTTTGATGTCTGGGCTTTGAAGTCTTTAACTTGTATGAGTTAGCAGAAATTCCTAACACTTCTGCATTACTGGTACTTTCAGAATTTCAAAGCATGTGCTATTTCCTAACAGGCAGACACACTATTAAAGCACTATTTTGAAGCTATCGTGAAATTTTATTTCATTAAGTGTGTTAATGAGCTCATTCTTGAAAATAAATGTGCTCTGCAACACTAGAATTTCTGTTTAGTTTTTATTTTTAATTTTTTTTTAAAATCTCCTTTTGATGGGGCATAGAGTCTAGCAGATACCAACAAGTCCTCATCATTCTGGCAAAATAATGTCCACTTTGTCATAAAGAATAGAAAGTGACGAAACAATTGAACAAAACAGCAACAAAAACCTGCATGCAAATTTGTGAAATTTTTAAAACAATTATGAACAACGGGCTCCTCCAACTCCTGAACCCTAAGCCCCATCAAGCAGGTCAGTATACAAGGGTGGGGATGATGGGAGTGGCATTCCCACAATATCTGAAGTAGTACTCATTGCCCATCTCTTTTAAAAGGAATCCCTTCCGTTCAATCCTATTATAACAATATCAATAAGAAAGTGGCTGGCTGGGGAGTTCTGGGAATTGAAGTCCACACATCTTTAAGCTGCCAAGGCTGAAAAAAACCAGACTGCCTAACATTGCAAACATAAGACTTTAACAGCTGGAGAAAATTGGGAATCTGAGACCTTATGCCAAAAAATAATGTACTGCACTACCAAGCTACAGCTTTTATTTAGTGATTTATTGCCATTGAAAATTATTCAAGTCATAGCTCCCTAGGTAGCATTTGCCTGATTACCTTCAGGGTGTTTCGGTTAGGTTCTGGTAAAATCAGTATGAGCAGATTGAGAGCCTGCAGCCTCTGTATCAAATCTGTGATATCTGTAGTAGGAGAGAACAATTGCATTCCTTTTGAGAATTAATCCTCAAAGACTCTGATTCTGAACAGCTAGTTGCTCCATTTCACGTATCTCATATGAAAAGCATTCAACTTGACCCATATAGGAAACCTAAGCCTAAGTGATAGGAAACTGCTATCATGGGAACTACTGTAGTTATTCAAAAGTGTTCATAAACAACAGTGTTTTCTATGACTACTTCAATTGCACCATCTGAAAAAAAATCATGCCAAGGTTGAGTTGCATCTTCTTCCAGAGAGCTGTAGGAAAGTATAAGTAGAATCATTAAGACTTAGAGCAGGCATGTCAAACTCACGACGTCATGTGACATCGCGCGACGTATCGCGACTTTTTCTCCATTGCCAGCAATGGGGTGGGCGTGGTTTCGGTATTTTGACATGCCTTAGAGCAAGTGAAGCAAGAGGGACACGTGTGTGTGTGTGTGTGTGTGTGTGTGTGTGTGTGTGTGTGTGTGTGTGTGTGTCTCAGAATGGGGGAAGATTTCTATTCCCAAAATGGCTTTACCATGATGGGTGTGGACAGGCACAAAATACCCATTTATATAAGACTGTAAACTGACAGCTTATGCTCCACCATCTTCTTTAACACTCCTACCAGGATCACCTTTATCATCCTAGCTTTCTTTCTGAAGGTTAGGTGAGCCTCTTCTGAATACAGCTCTGGGCTGTAATTTTTATTTTTTTATTTCATTTTTATTTTCTTCTGCAGTTCAGAAGGAACTCTGAGCTTATGATTCTTGGAAATTATTATGCTCAGCACTATTGCTTTGTTTTGAGGCATATCATCACCCTTTTTCATTTTTATTAAAAAAAAAATCTAAGTGTACAATAAAATCAAGTGGAGCAAGGAATCTAGGAGGTAGCAAGATGATGCATTTACTGCTAGCTTATATAAAAGTTCTCCTTATGACTGAGCAAGAAAATAGACACAGACAGCTACAGAACGTGTCCAGCAACACATCCATTACAGCCTAATGCCTTCCCCAACAAGGGAGGAGAGAAAGAATGAGTGCTGAAGGCTAGGAAATCTTCTCTGCTTGGCCTAGCACTTACTCTGCACAGCTGCAAAGGCAGGCAAGTATTCTGCTGTTAGAAGAGGTGTGGGTAACTCTCGAATAAATCTCTTCAGCAGACCAGAGACGTCATTTTGATGCACCTCATCCCACCGGAAGAAGCCAGTGTAGAACTCATTTTCCAGTTTTTGTTCCAAACACTAATGCAAGGGGAAGAAAATGAGGAAAGGGAAAGAGAAAAGAGATGCCTTGATGTTAAAAAGGGTTTAGAGCAGGGATCTCCAACTTTGGCAACTTTTAAGACTTGTAGACTTCAACCCCCAGAATTCCTCAGCCAGCAAAGCAAAGCTGGCTGAGGAATTCTGGGAGTTGAAGTCCACAAGTCTTAAAGTTACCAAGGTTGGAGACCCCTGCTTTAGAGTATTTGGCTAAAACAAACCCATGGATGAAGGAGAGAGAAATGTGATCTGCATTAACAGTATGTCTGCCTTAAAATGCAACTACAGAAACAAACAATGGATGGATGGATCAACATTTAGAAGTGAAGAAAAACAATAACTTAGCATTTTCCTAGTGACAAAATACAGTACCACAGCTTACAAACTGAATAGCTGCTGCTAAGAGATGGAAAGCTGATTAGAATTCCAGTCCACATTGAATACATCACAATGATTTACTGCAGCAATAATCGAAAAGATTGTTTTTAAAATGTCTCTGAATATAGCAAAAATGGCATTCTTTCTGCTTGCTGCTGCCATCTTCTGGTCAGGTGAGGAATACAAATTCTCAGAGCAAGGAACTCCTTTTTGCTTTTAATCCAAGATGAAATAACAAATGTAAGCATATTCTCTGATTGTATTAAGTCGTGATTTGTTTTACCTATTATTTGAAGTGGCTTTGCTTATATGTGACAGCTAACCATGGCTTATAAGTCAGATGACCAGCTTTGATAAGCTAATATCAAGCCAAATACAGTTAGGCTTAAAATAATGAGTGAATGAGTTACTGTGAAGTTGAGACTTCACTTTGTTGTGAACAGATAATAACATTTAATAATATTTTTTTTACTTTTTAAGCCAATATAACCCCTGAGAAACCAACATATTTCTGACATCTTTGCATCTTACAGAAGATTCCAGAGCACTGCAGATTGCAACTGTAATGGGAAGCAGACGTGATTATATTCTTCTAAAATTCTGTATGATGTGCCAGACATCTAAGACTATACCTAAAGAATCACACAGAGCTAAGGCTTAACTACTGCTTGATAAGTGATCAACGTGTACACTTTCTTCATGAACATAAGAACCAATGTGCTGTTTACTATATTGGATTCAAAAGAGACAAAGAGAAAATATTTTCTTTTTCTCATTGAGGTTTTTATTCTAGGGGACTATCACTTGCATCTTTGGATAGAATTCCTTACTCAGTTGAACAGCTGAAAACATGAGCAAGTATACCAAGAGTCTTGTGCATTATATTTTTCCCCATCTTCCACAGGCCTTAAAAATAAGGATACTAAGGCTACTGATTCATCATTTTTATAAAATGGCTTCCTAAACACTTAGCAGAAGTATTCTAAAGAACAATCTAGCAACCAGGAATTGCCTGATAGTCTACCAAAAACTGTCCAGTAACGCACGGATGGACCATGGTCTGCATTCTATTTACTTTTATTTAGATTTCATCTATGATATTCTTCTACATATACTGCAGGTCAAATATTCTATATGAAGATTGCCCAATAAATTTCAAAAGAATTCCAGAGGAAACTGAATTAAAAGCCATAGCAATGTACCTTAATGCGAGACTGGGATCCTGAAACTCTCAGGATTCCTTCTGTATCCAGCCCTTTCTTTTCCAAGCATGAAAGCAACTGTGAAGCAAAAGAGCAAATCATCATGAAAAAGCAACAATACTGCAGATAAATTCAAAACACAGAATTGATAACAACAGAAGATATAAAATGAACTTACCGCTTGCAGAATCAGTGGAACCCTGGTGTTTGGAAGGCGCTTTTGATCATTTTCCAGCAAAGTGCCAAGTGCAACTCCAAAAAGTTTGTGGTCTGCAATGAAGGCAACTATATTTAAAACTATTTCATCCTCAAATAAAACAAAAACTTGAACAAATAATGACAGCTTAGTAGACCATAGGGAAAAACAACTGTACTTAAAACAGTAAGACCATAACGTGATTATGATGTCCACCAATTCAGCTTTCTCTTCTGGTTCTGTAGCTCTGCCTGCCATTCGCAGGTTGCCTGTTTCTTTGATGGACTTTACCCTGGACTTGCCTTGAACCACCATGAAACAGGAGAGAAAATAACTTTGAAATTAACATCAGCTGTGAAGGCTGGGAATATATCAAAAAACAGCCACCACCCATGGACTATACTTCTGACTCAAGATAGAAGCTTTATATGGGCAAGCAATATTATGAAAATATTGTGAATTTTTCACAATGGCACATTCAAGAAGGAGAAAGAGAAAAGATTTAAGATCTAACCATGAGCTACAATACCTATGAAGGCTGATAGAGACTAGACTCCAATTGAGCTGGCTCCTTGATGTGGTGGCAATAATGGCGAAGGTATGCCAGCAATACCACAGCAATGGTATAAGCAGAAGAATCATGGCTGCAGTTATTACTGAACTGGCTAGTGAATACTGAAGCATGCAGAAGATGCAGCATGGAGACTTGTTGAAGGCTCATTTCCTGGACAAGAAACCCTAGTCAGGTGCCAGGAATCTGAGGTTGAGGAGTTGGGACAGAGAAGCTGGACAGATATTCTGAATGTACTGAGGAACAGACAGACTGCATTTGGGCAGATTACCTTTTATCTCCTCATCTATGTATCCTAACCCAATCACTCTCATAGAGCAATTCATCCTACAAAAATATGTTCTTGTTTTTTGAATAGGATTCTGTTTCCCCCCAAAATCAACTGTTATGTGATTTAGTCTCCAAAGATATCATAGTGACATTCAAACAGCAGCAGAAATTACATGTACCAAATTTGCAGATGTATTATATCTTCCAAATCACAGTGGCAAGCAGCTTTCAAATAAGTTTTCCCATTTGTCATCTAGCAATTGTACCCTGCCTTCCTTCCCAGCAACTTCAGGAAACACACATTATAGGTACCATAGAAAAAAAGAAGGGGAGTAAAGAACAGTTTACCTGATGACTTTCGTTTAACTGCCTTGTTCCTCTTCAGCTCTAAGCCAACAATATCACAAAGTGCGGTTAGTTCAATGAGTGCTAGGGTAGGAATTTTCTTCATGTCCTGCAGAGACAGATCTTCTGTCCTGGTTACTCCCAGCCTCCCCTTGGGGATCTTAAACTTCTAAACCAAGGAATCAAAAGAGGGGAAATTAGTGTGACATCTCAGGGTCCATTTTGTAACTCTGAGAAAACTTTTTTTTCAAAGTAATGAATAGATAAAAACTTAGAAAAAGGATGCGCAAAACTTGATTGCAACTCAGCAATGTCAAACTTGATTGCAACAGGCATGTCAAACTGCTGGGCCGTGGGCCAGATGTGTCATGCCGAAACCGCGCCCATCTATTGCCGGCAATGGGGGAAAAGTTGCAATTCGTCGTGCGACGTCACGTGACTCGCGAGTTTGACATGCCTGTTCTAGAAAGTTGCAGGGGCAACCTTGTAATACAGTAAACCCAAAGATGCTTTTTCATGAGGCAACTGAACTTCCTTGTTTTTGTTTTTCTTTGAAGATGTTTTGCTTCTGATCCAATAAGTTTCTTCAGCTCTGACTCAATGGTGGGGGAATGGAAGGATTTATACTCCTTGCAGGCAGCTATCCAGTCAGAGCTGAAGAAGCTTCTTGAATGAGAAGCGAAACATCTTCAAAGAAAACAAAAAACTCCACTTGCCTCATGAAAAAGCATCTTTGGGATAACTATGATCTGGATGACTGAGAATCTCCACAGATAAATAAAGTAATAAAATTGGTTCCCCCCAAAATGGGGAGCAGATAGTTTCCAGATATTTCTGTTGATGTTCTGAAGATGTTTTGTGAATGAGAATGGGGGCAGACACCCTCAGAAAGGCAAGCTACTACCATTCATTAATGGAAGTCCTGAAATCCTATTTATGACATTTTGCCATTCAGCCATCAAATTTCAGAGTTGTAGGAGTGGTCACAAATGGGAATACATTCAGCCCATGGGATGGTCAACCTGGTTTGAAAACATTGGAAGCCTTACAGGTAAACAACTCTCTTCCTTTATTCTCCTGGATTCCCTTGGGAATGATCCTTTGAGCAGGATCGCAGCCTGCTCTGAATAGGCAACCTCAGTGCTGAATAATTCTTCTCTCACAGAATCTCTCAGTGGAGACTGAAAGTCCGGGATTCCCACTGGATCTAAAAGTAAAGGATTTTGAATGAAGAAAAGAACATAATAAACAAGAAAAAAATATATACTTCTATCTACTGACTAAAATCAGTCTACAGAAATACAGATTGGCTTTTAAAATAAATGGATCCCAGGGTCCTAAAACCAAGAATCAAACAAATTTAAATAATCTAGGTTTTATTTCCAGAATAAAGAGGTTAAATAAAAGCTTTATATTAACATACAATCCCAAAACTTTAACTACGCCCTTTTCATTTCAACATCCAGTTATCTTTGAAGGATTTCAATACTGTACATGCCGCTTGTGTGAATCAGTATTTTAATGAAATTATTTTGTTCAATCAGTTGAGCTCACTCAATAATTTTATTTCCAATAATTTTTGTCATAGCAACATTATATATCACATAAAATTTGCTCTTAAGAATTCCAGCCAGATGTATGCATTCACTAAAGATGCAACAATTAACTAAGGTCTGTGTGTTCCCACCTAGCTGGTTTTAGCTACTTCAGTTCCTCGTTTTTTATAACTTAAAAAAGCAGTATTATTTTGTGGGGAGGTGGGGGAGTTGCAAGAGTACATTGTGAAGGAGAGGGCTAAGCCTTCTCCACTGGGATGTTGATGTGATCACTGTATTGGCTGGAATTCAAAAAATTCTAAAAGCCCAAACCCTAAGTGCTACAATCTCCTCCTTTGCTTTCCCTTCCTCCAAAACTGATGTAAGTTTTGCATACCTGAACTTAATATACAGTATTGTTAATCAAGCTACAGTATTTTAACTCATATGATAAATATGTTTGCAGGAGTAAAAATAAATTTATTTTATCTTGCATCTAACTCTTGCATTTAAAAGCTCAGCCTGGCTGACCTCAACAAGCTAAGCAGCTTTTACACTTCAGACTCTTTTAGTATTTGGATGAGAGGCAAATGACTTGTGTGCTATTGCCAATAAAATCAAAACATCAATATGATTATCACATTGCCAAAAATCAAGCTCAACTTGAAGACTTAATTATTTAACTGAAGCTTTTAGATCCTCAGTTTTGCAAATTTTAAATTCTTAGAAAAACAAAAAAGAAAAAAAAGAATATTGAAATAGAAGAAAGTAATCACCACCAAAATATAAATAGGTTTTCTTTAAATGCAATGCGTGTAGTTTACATCAGAGATTTTTCTAGTCAGCCTGGTTGTTACTAAGAGGCCCAGGATGGAGGTACTCACACTGTAAAGCTTTCATACATGCTACAATAAATGGGGCTGACAGAACTTTAAAACAGAGGAAGAAATCTATAAGAAATTATGTCAGAAGAATCACCTTAAATTTCCTGCAAACATGATGTCATACCACACTATTTGGAGAGTTACAAAACTATAGTCAGTGTACAAACACATGGAAAAACCCAGAGTTTCTGCTTTCACAGCAAGGTACAGAACATGTGGCAATTTGCCAAAGACCACTTTTGTAGGGAAGAATTTAGGGTGTTATTTTTACCCTGGACATAGCTCCCCAAGAAAGTGTTCCCCAAACCTGGATAAATTACCCAAAATTGAACAAAAGTGGTTTTTCTTTGGGCAGCCACTCTACAAACCCATTACTCTTCACAACAGGGACAGTTAAATTGACTTAAAGATTGCCATATGGACTAAAATATACTATATCTGAAAATCTCCCAAATTATTCCTATTAAGATGAAAACTGATACAATTATAAATGGTAATTTGTTATTGAAATGACATGATCGATCAATGATACTGTTTTTATAATATAGGTAGTCCTCAAATTATGATCAATTGTTCAGAGACCATTTAAAGTTACATTGGACTGAAGAAAGAGACTTAAGACCATCTTCAAAGTTTGCTAAGACTTTCTGATAAGCGGTTTTGGGTAACAAAGGAAAAAGGTTGGGAAGCATTGGCTTAAGGAGGTAAAATGAATGCCTAAAATCTTGCAAATTCTTACGAATCCCTGAAATTCCTGAATCCTCCTTTCGAATCCTCTCCACTTCTAGAACACGATTCTCAACTGTCATTCAAAGCCTGGTGTGGCACTTTAGTTGGCAACAGCTGCATACTTTTATATTCCTAATTTCTATTGATAGCAACGCAATAATTTTCTTACATTTCTGAAGGTTGTTAGATGATGCAGACCTGCGGTGACGTCGATCCATTTCAGACTCCATCACTGGTTCAGTTTCCTAGGCGGAGAGTGCAAGAAAAGCCAGTAAATTCACATATCACATTAAACCATGGCTTGTTTTAAGCTTGCATTCTAGCACATCAGTGGACTTTTTTATGTGTAATCTACATAAGTAGCAAGTGTATTGTTTTGATTGCAGGCTATCCCAATACTGAACGTAAAAATAAAACAAATGAAAATGTTTGCAAAATGCAATATTTACAATAATTGTATTTTTTTTAAAAGTCAACTATGTATAAAACACCTAGCTTACAAAGACTGATTCACATATTGCATTAAGCCAAATTTGAGATTAAAATGCAACTTTGTCAGTGCAACACAATGGAGATATCCCCTCAAAATCAAAATTGATTGTCAACCAATAATTAATCATTTCTAAGGAGGTTCATGAAATTTTATGAAAAAAAATGGATCTTGATGTGATTTTTGAAGCCCAGCAGGTGGCAGCATGTAGCTGACCTTAGCTGATTTCAAAAATGATTTCATTATTTCAAAGAACAGGATAGGGAAAAAAACCACTTGAAAATTCTATCTTTTTACAGTATCTAAGTACCATGGAGTGATGCCCTTCACTTCAGTTATTTAAAAAAATCATTCCAGTATATATTTGGGGGTTTTCAATGATTGTCTCAGTTGCTGTATCTGAAACAAAAACTAAGATTCACAGCTAAAACCCAGTTCATCTGTTGTCAGATTAATATGGTCAAAGGTCAGAAAGCAAATATTGCAGGCTCTAAGAGTCAGAAATATATATATATATATATTCTTTAAATGAGAGCAACAGATTTGGGATACCATCATGGTTTTGGTTTAGAGCACAGCAAGGTTAACTGTTAGTGGTGAAATCCTACCAGCTTTCTAATGATGAGACAATAACAATTACTCAGTACAGGTAGTCCTTGACTTACAACCATTCGTTTAATGACTGTTCAAAGTTAAGAGACTTATGACCAGTTTTCATACTTATGAGCACTGTAGCATCCCATAGTCACATAACCAAACCTTGGATGCATGGCAAACCAGCATGTATTTACTCGGATTGTCATTTGCAACCTTCTTAGGGAGTTTCTGACAAGCAAAGTCAATGAAAGCCAGATTTGCTTAACAACCACATGATTCACTTAACAACTGCAATGATTCATTTAGCAACCATGACAAAAGGTGATAAAATGGGGCACAACACTCTCAACAACTGTCTTGCTTAGCAATGGAACTTTTGGGCTCAATTTTGGCCGTACGTCAAGCACATATTAAGAGGCTTGCACGGTCTCTCTCAGTTAAAAGTTAACTGTTTGCCTGGGGTACAACATTAAGAAAATTACTGAAATTGCTAACAAGGAAAATATCCTCCACATTTAATCAAGAAGCAATTTGATGGTTTTGACCACTCAAAATTAGCACGTTTTTATGAAAACAACTTATTTAGATTACACTTAAATCACCCATTCTCTAAAAAATATCTAAGTGAGGTTAATTGATAGGGCTGCAAAGTTTGATAAATTTAAAAAGAGAATAAAATGCGGCGGGGGTTTTTGGGGTTTTTTTGAGGGATAATTCTAAATTGTTGGCGTTAGAAATTGGGAACATAAGAGCTGATGCAAAATGAGCATGTAAAGGAACGTACCCCAGACTCAACTACTCCAAAAATGTCTCTGACATCACGGATAGGCTGCTTATTTTTCTTCCGTCGGGAGCGGGTATAAGTATCCAACCTTCGCTGCACAGCCGCGGCCTGAGTCTTGGTCAAAGTGGACAGCAGGACAATGTTGCTATTCTCTTCATGGTCCTCCATTAGGTCAGAGAGTCCTGCATCCTGCAGCCATTCAGCTTCAGCTTCTCCCTCTGAGAGGCAAGGAAGAATGGGAAAAGCGAGGTCAACAAATAGCATAGCACTTAACTATTCAAAGAATGAGTTCACACAACATTATGAAGCCTGAATCTGGGTCTATAAAACACAACTGCTGTAGTTGCATAAAATGCTATATTATTGGTTAATGGCTCATGCAACCTGAAAAGACAATAGCTAAATTGTCACAACACCTAGAGCTACAAACAACCCAATGCCTAGTCTAACATTCTGTGTTCTGTTCTTCAGTCACAGAATAATTCAGATAAATACAATTGTAAAAGCTAAACAAATGTATCTTTAACCAAAGATATCTTAAGAAGCTCCTATTATTTCCCCTGAATGATAGGGCTGAAAGGGCCCAATGGGCTTGCTTGTGAAAACTCCCAGTCCTATTTAAATACCCATCTATTTCCTTGAGTCAAGTCCTTCTAATTTATGAGGATTTCAAAACTGACATCCATGCAAAACAGATAAAGACAGGAGTAGCACGTACACATTTCTTATATTCTATGCTCAGCATTTTTCCTTCATTTCTTTAGCTTTCTATGCTGAAAGCACATTGATTTGAGATGTCATCTATCTCAATTAGAAAACTATTTTTTAAAAAATTGTTTCTGGATAAATAAAGTTACTTTACAAGGATTTTCATCATATTCCTTACATATTTGATTATCTTTGCAAAATCTTGTTTCTCCAATGCTCAGTTCCGTATTGTTCTTCTTTATGTATTTGTACATTTTTAATCCTAAAAAAATTCTTAGTGAGCTACTATACTTCAAGGCTAATGAATTAATGCAATATTTGTTCCAAACAACACATTCCTATGATGCACTGATATGCAGATGATGTTGCCATTTCAGGTTATGAAATGTCTGCAAGCAAACAACGAAACTCAGAGAGCACCAGGAACTCCACAATACACATTATTTCTGAAGTGCATTGTTTACAACATTATTTTCTCGGTGTCTTTCATCTTTCTTCATAGATACACACGAAGAGCTATGAAAACCTTTTTTTTTCTTCATTTTGACACTACATGAGTAATAAAAAAAAATTCCCAGCAAAAAAATTTTCAGTTTTTCTTAGAACAGAGTTGTTTTCTGACACATTTCTATTTCATTTTTCCTTACATATAACCAGATATTCAGCATATTTAGGGAAGCAGAATCTGACATCTATTTATAGCCCAACTCTTCTTAGCAGACTTCTCCTGCTGAATTGAAATGCTGTCCACCCATTTTTGAGTTGGAAGAAAACCACATGTGACATTTGCTATCCCTACAGTTAACCTCTGTTGCCTCTGTTCCAGTTACTGCCAAATTCTGACTTCTTTCCAAGATAATGAGTGATGAAGCCTAATAGATATTACACATTTACTCCCTTGGATGGCTATCATAAAAAAGAAAGACTACACTAATATCAATGCAACTGAGTTAAGACTGTGTCACTTATAGACTAGGAACAAGAGAAAGAAGACAGCATGGGGACATGGCATTCCCTCCCCCCGCCAAAAAAATCAAAGTTTGTTTGTATAGCAATAGCACTTAGACTTATACACTGCTTCATAGTGCTTTTACAGCCCTCTCCAAGCAGTTTACAGACTCAGCATATTGCCCCTAACAATTTGGATCCTCATTTTACCAACCTTGGAGGGATGGACGGCTGAGTCAACCTTGAACCGGTCAGGATGAAGCACCTGGCAGTTGGCAGAGTTAGCCTGCAATACTACATTCTAACCACTGCGCCACCATGGCTCCAGTATCAGGGATAGGTGAAAGTTACTTTCAATCTTAATGAATCACAAACTGATCAAACAAGAATTAAAAACTATACATTGTAGTTTCATAATTAAAAAAAAATCTGGTTCTCCTGCCCTGGAGGAGTTTACAGAACCAGCATAGCTCTACAAAGAATCTAGGCTTAGCCTGGTATGAATTAAAAGTATAATATCCCATAATTGGGAATCAGTGACACCTGTAAATGTAAATGAAACTCTTCAACCCACACAAACACACTTCTGATTTTTCTTTGTAGCTATTAAGAAGGGTCTCTTCACTTCCAAGAATAGCAACACTGCTCAACACATTCATCTCTTTCACTTCCACCCACTAGGTATAATTACTTAGAGGCCTGGAAAATATAAGAATATTTCTAAGAAATGCACACACCATACCACTTTCCAGACACAGAGACAGTTTTTCTTTTGTGAAAGTCCTCACATCAACAATGAGGAACTCCACCTGGTCAATGAAATTCTGCATCTGCTTAGCAGAAAATAGCAGAAAGAAAATCAATAAATCTGTCCAAATTTACATGAAATGTCTACCTAAGGTTTAGTTCATAGACTTTCCCTTAGAAATATTTTCGGCTTAATAGTTTATATACAAAATTAGTTAATTCTATTCTCCCAGTACTGCCTATGAAATTTAGGCCGAGGAATGTTCCCGAACTTCCAGGGAAGAAATGGCAAATTGAAGATGGCTTAGCATTTTGAGGAGCAAACAACTGTGGCTAAGACAAGAAGCCTGCAAACACATTAGGTCCATTGACCCTCTCTGGAGAGAGGAAATAAGATTGCCCACATTGCACTCAATACGTTTGCTCCTCACCAGAAAATTGCAATGCAGCTATCTCTGGGGAAAATCAGGATACGACAGAATTTACTATTCTTCTTGTAGCTGTAGTTGGACCCTTTAAAATAGAGGCTCCCAACCTTCTGGGCACCAGGGACCTGTTTTGTGGAAAAAGATTTTTCTGCAGACCAGAGAGGGCGTGGTTTCGTGTGCTGTCTGCATCCAGCAGATGGGGCTTCACTTGTTTGCGCGGCCTGGTTGTGGTATGCTGCGGCCCGGTGAAGGTGCCGGTCCACGGACCGGAGGTTGGGGACCCCTGCTTTAAAAGACACTAAAATTGCCCTTCCTTCCTAACTGCCTTTGGAAACCACCTTTTAACTGCTTTACAGAAGTTAAACACTTTCAAAATGACATGGCTGGAAACACCAGGTGAGCGTCTTCAATCATTAGCATAAGAAAATGAAACTGCATCTTTAAAAGTTTACAAATTCAAAATAAAAAGCAAAAAGGAAGACAAGGTTTTGACTACAGAGCTTTAAATAAATTAAGAATTCAGAAAAAGCTGTAATATTTAATTTTGAATATTAAGATGCTGGTATTAATTTTAAATAAATTGTATTTTTGTGGAAAAATATTTTTGATATTGGAGACATAACAAGATAAGCAACTTATAATGGTATTCAGAGTTATCGCTGAGGAATGGCAATAGGGCTTTAAATCAACATTGTCTGCTATACTGCATGTTTTCATGAACACCCTGACCCAGAAGCAATTGTGGTGAGATGGGCAGAAAATAAATTTATAAATAAATAAATAACACCAGAAGTATTTAAAGCCTATTTGAAATTATTATGGAGAGCAATGTGAATACAAATTTATGACTGGAAACACTGGATGAATCTCTAAAAATGAAAAGACAAAGCCCATCATGAGAGTAAAGATTTATATGATCTGAAGAAAAAACAGAGTAACTGCAATTTTTTTTCTTGCTGAACTTATAAAAGAGACTTGTCAAAAGTTCTGAGAAAAATTGAGTCAATGGATAATGGATTAAAGAAGATCGTTTTCTGTAAAAAAAAAAAAAAGGAGGAATATATTTGATCAGATTTTAAATGAGATAGTTGTTATTTTCTAGACTTGCTGATATCTGGAAAAGACATTATATACTGAATTTGCTTCTAGTTAAGAGTTGAGATATGGAATGATGAGTTTTATATTTTGTTTTATATTTGTTAACAAATTTGTTTATTTCAGAATTCTGCTTGGACTTTTTGCTGATGCCTGGATTGGAAAATGTGTTGTTTATTAAATTTGCCTAGAATTAGGAGTTGAGTTATGAGACAAAGAGTTATGTATTTGCTAACTAAGAGGAGGTGAAGAGATAGCTGAACAGTTTATACTTGTGAGTGGGAAGCTGCTTTCTTTCTGAAACTTATTTTTCAACAGTACTTCAGAAAGTCAAAAAGTGAATTTAGAAACAATTGGACTTTAGGGAGTTGGTTCCTGGTTCAAGAGCAAATAAGCATGAGGACAATCTAACCTTTATGTATAATTAAAAATAAATACCATAGAAATGCATGCCAAAAACTCTGATCCTGGCAAGAGAAGAAGAAAGTTTGAACTATTTGCTCCGAACATTGTTCAAATCAACAGATTCTCGCCTTGGGAGTTTCATAATAGAAACTTTCAACCCAGGGCAATAACAAGCATGGAGAGGCTTCATCCAGATACAAAATTTAGTGATGACAGAACTATGGTGAGGACAAAGAGCTGGAACACTTTTGCTGCTCCCTGTTCCACAATAATAAACATTTCTAAATGTCTAACCCAAAAAGCTTTTTTTAAAAAAAAAAATCATGCAAAATATATTAACATTTAGAATCATCAAGTCAGAAGGCATTATTTAGACTGCTGAGCTCAACAACTTGCGTAAGGAAAGTATTTAAGCTGAAACATCCGCAAGAAAATTCTCTTTAGCTTCTACTTCAATACAAATTAAAAAAAAGGAATACCACCATCTCCCTAGATAATTTGTTTGCTTTGGCTGCAATTCTCTTCGTCTCACATTTTACAATAGCTTTTATCTCAAGAAGAAAAAAAAGATTATTTGAAAGAACGTGCCATTTGCCACAAGTGCTGTGCCCAGTAAGCTACTGTTTGCAAAAATATTTTCAAGTCAGACTCTAGTAAGCTACAGGCACTTCTTACCTTCTAGGAGCTTGGCTTCTGTAAGGCTGCCCTCATCAGACTCAGATTCAGTGCTCTCTTTGATGCTCTCTACTTCTAGCCAAAAAGTATCCATGGCTAGGTTATTTGATGAATCTCTCTGGGACGGCCTGTATTCCAAAGGTGGAATCTCTGAGGAGCTCTTCCGGGAAAAGTAATTCATCTTGCAAGGGCAATTTCTAATGCTAAGAGAGGAGGGGAGAGAAAATAACCAATTATTATACAAATATAAATATTGTGTATAATATCAGCGCTTACTGCATGAACCGGCTGTTAACAACTTCCAGAAAAGATAAGGTTCTGCAACATCCTTATTTTTCTCTATTTATTGCACAGTAATGTAGACCAAAGAAAAATAAGCCCAAACTTTGATGTAAGTACAAAGGGCAACAATATAGGTTTCCGTTTTCTCTTCTAGACTGCTCTCCTCTCATCTAGACCTAGATGAGAATCTTCTTCAGAACACGCAGAAGAACATCAAAGGTTCAGAGTGAGTCTGTAAACACAAAGAACTTTACAAACTTAGAAGAAAACTTTTTGCAATCCTAAAAATATTGAAAAGCACTCATTGTTATACAAGCTGTAATCCTAACACATTTAGAGGACATGAAAAATCTTAACTAATTATTTCTGGAGCAAACAGCAGAATTCTGAATAAAGCTGGTTTCTTCACTGAACTGATGATTCTCAGACTTCTTATGCATTGATTTTCTCAGTCCTACAATCCAGGATATAGAAATGCATGAACAAACCAAACCTGTGTAACAAATCACGATGTTGGGAAGGGAAAGCAGAGCATTGAAAGAAATTCACAGGAAAGTTTATAAATATATATATAAAAGGGCAGATCACTGGCTAGCCTCCAGCTAGCCTCTCAAGGTCTTATAATCACTTGGCAGGGAAATGACAGATGAAAGGGATATTTTTTTTAAAAAATAAAATAAACATGCATGTGTGGGGGGTGTGGAGAAATCACATAACTGGAAATTGAGTCTCTTTCATTTGCTTCCAAGTCTTTGCCTGAAGCATTGTCATTTGAATAATGGATTATAGTAAGTAATCACTTAAAACCTATGAGGACCAGATCAACTGATATTAGATCTCCCCAGCAGTGCAAGAATGTTATGTGGCTAAGTAAATTAAGCAGCTGGAAAAGCAGCCAATTTTGATTCACAGAATAATATTTTGGGAAGTGAGAACCTCCCAAATCAACATTATAGTTACCATTCTGCTGCCATTCTAAAGAGGAACTGCAGAAGAGAAACTCACATTACTTACACAATTCTATATGGTTCCCATCATCTAGAACCTGTAGTTAGTTGGTTTAAAAATAACTTCTTCTAATCCTTTCCAGTGGTTTTCAGAAGGGCTAGATGTCTGATGTATGAGTTACCTTTATTTAGAAACAACTTGTATTCATCCCAAACTGATCATTTTCAGTAACCATGCAAAAGATACATTCTGGTTCCATAGCTATGAGAGTGAAGATTTGTATTATAACTTCACGTTTTAAATTTATCCACAAGTCAGTATCAATGCCTTTGCCATCTTATGTCCACCACCCAACTGCCCATAACCCAAATAAAGTGCAAGAGAAATATATAGATGGTGTTTGCTTGGTAATCAAAACATTGCATGGATTACTTAACAAAAAAAACAAGAATGACAATCATTAGAAGTGACAAGTATTAGAAGATTAGTTTGATACTTCTAATTTTATTTTTCAGTTAAAATGGTTCCCAGAGATTAATTTACATACACATTCTTTTTTAAAGACATTCCTACCTATCATAGAGACAGAGAAAAGGAATAGGATGAAAAGAGGGACATGGAGGTAAGCTAAAGTAGCAATGGTTTAACTAAATACAGGTAGTCTTCAAGTTACGAGTGTAATGGAGCCTGTACATTCCACTTGTAACTCGAAAACTCGTGGGAATCTTGTACCTCGAACCAAAAAAGTCCCTGCTCGTTAAGACGCACACGGCATGTTAAGTGCATGAGGTATCTCAGGGTGGGGAAGGCCATGGGCCCTAATGATGGAACATGCCCCCAAGGCCTCCCTGCCCCATTAAGAAACCTCATGCCCTCCCTTCCTGCCGTGCCAGACTCACTTATCTTGCAAAATCTGTCTCCTCTCTGCTGCGGTTTCTTTCCCTTTGAGGGAGAGGAGAATTGGCTTGGAAATGCTTTTTGCACTCCTGGGTACCGTAATATCGCACAAGTTCAAACACAAATTCTCTGCAAAAGAGATCATGGCCCCTGGAAGCTTCCATTCTGAGCGGGGGGAAGTGTTTGCTTCGTTTGCATGCCTATGGGGCAAAGCGTGGAATTGGAGTCGGCCAGGCACAGGAACCAATGCCATCTGTGGCCCGGGTGCGCTGCTCGCTCACGTGCGCCAGCCTTAGTTTGAGGGCAGGAACGAAGTCTTCAACTGAGCGGGGATGCATTGCGGGGCAAGTCCCCTTGCACCTGCGTCCAAATTGCTAGCAGCAGTGGTGGTGGCAACAGCCACCTGAGCTGCCACGATATCTCCTCCCCAGCCAGCCACCCACACTGCCCGACCTACTCCATGCCTGACCGGCCAGCGGCACAAATCCAGACCACTCTTCTGCTTGTCCTCCTCCCCACTCAAGTGGTGGCAGCAGTTTCAGTTTCTCCGCTCTGTCCAAAAGGAAGAAAGTGGAGGCGCAGATCAGGATTCCTCTCAAGAAGATGCAGGTCTGCTGCTCGCTTGTGTGCGCCAGGCTTATTAAGAACAATCCTGCTCTGTGCTTCCACTTATTATTCCGCTTCTTCCACTTGGATGGAGTGGACAAACTCAAGCCACTGCCACCTAGTCTGTGGCTGTTTTCCCCAGGAAAGGGCTTAAGAAAAGGCTTTTTCCAGCAAAAACGGAGCCACAGAGTGTGGTGCGATCACTCCGGGGGCTCCATTTTCACCAGGAAAGGGCTTGAGAAAAGACCTGTGGGGCGCTTCAGAAACGGAAAGAACTGTCACAGGGAGCTTCAAAACAAGTGAATCCCTGCGTATTAAATAGCCCCATAGGCGCTCAAACACTTTTTAATTCAAATATAGACCTGAGTCAAACGGAGCTTCAAGCAGTCACATGGACCTTCCAATCTCTCTCAGGTCTGCGTTTGGATAAAATGTGTTTGAGCGGCAGTGGCTGGAATTTCTCCGCTCCGTCCGAGTGAAAAAAAGCGGAGGCACAGAGCGGTATTGCTCTCAATGAGGCTGGTGCACGCAAGCGAGCAGCATAGCCGCGTCTTCTTGAGAGCAATCCTGCTCTGCGCCTCTACTTTCCTTTCAAACGAAACTGAGAAACTGAAGCTGCTGCCACCGCTTGAGTGGGGAGGATGACAAGGAGAAGAGCGGTCAGGATTTGTGCCGCCAGCCAGTCAGGCAAGGAGTAGGTCAGGCAGGGTGAGTGGCTGGTTGGGGAGGAGAGATTGTGGCCGCTCAGGTGGCTGTTGCCGCCAACAGTTTGGATGCAGGTGCAAGAGAACTTGCCCCACGATGCATCCCCGCTCAGTTGAAAGCTTTGTTCCTGCTCTCAAACCAAGGCTGGTGCACGTGAGCGAGCAGTGCACCGGGCCACGGACAGCATTGGTTCCTGTGCCCGGGCAACTCCAATCCCACATTTTGCCCATAGGCATGCAAACGAAGCAAACACTTCCCCCCCTCAGAATGAAAGCTTCTGGGGGCCATGATCTCTTTTGCAGAGAATTTGTTTGAACTCACACGATATTACGGCACCCAGGAACTTCCATTGTTGGCGCAAAAAGCATTTCCAAGCCAATTCTCCTCTCCCTCAAAAGGGAAAAAAAACACGGCAGAGAGGAGACAGATTTTGCAAAGTAAAGGAGTCCGGCACGGCAGAAAGGGGGAAGCAGTTATGTGTGGGGGGGAAATAGCGTGAATGTTGCAGAGCCTCTGCGGTCGTTTGTAAGGGCGAATGACTGCTGTGGTGCTGCAATATTCATAATTTTGGGATTTGCTCGTAAACACTAGGGGTTGCTGGTCCCGTAATTTCAAACGAACGTTAAGTGAATGCTCGTAACTCGGAGTTTGCCTGTAATACTGTAAAAGTCTTATATAAGTATGTACTAGAGCAGACATGTCAAACTCGTGTATCGGGACAGTTTTGCCATTGCCAGCAATGGGGTGGGCACAGCTTCCGAGTGACGCGTGTGGCCCGTGGCCCAGCAGTTTGACAACCCTGTACTAGAGGAAGAGAAATCTGAAGAAAACTTTCAGCAAGATAATGATACAGCCTTTACACAGTATTCCTACCACGTTTCCCTTCTTGGGTCCTGATAAATGGATGGGATATTTAAACAACCTGCCACCAGACTTGCAGATTCTGCGAAGTTGAGAATAAAGCAAGATACAGGATAGCACAGCAATCTGCAATTGGGAAGAGGGATCAAGTGCTTGACATGATTTGTTTAATTCTGATAGCATTTTGTGTTCAATCAGCTTTTATAGTAGGACAACCACACTGGATTACAAGAAAATGACACAATCATTAAATAGTATGAATCTCTTTAAATGATATCCAATGGTGTTTGGCTTTTACAACCCAGATATGGTAGTCCTATTTTATTATTTACAAATATGGGTTAGCATCCATAGGCTAGTAGAATTGCTGAGAAAGAGATATTTTTTGCCATTCAATTTCTACTTTATTCAAAAGTGGATGATCCAAAAAGGCTGAATCTCTACCTGAAATAATACAATTTATCAGTGCAAAACCTTAACATCTGTTCTATGGTACCTACAGAGCTAACACGTCTGTGTATTATTTTACAGACTACAAACTTTCCCTTTTCTTCCCCTGGCTCCAAATACAGTTCCAACAAATGCAGAGATCTTTTCATTCACCAGCATGTTTGCACTTCCATGCTCTTATATTATGAAACTCTATGTCCTTGCTTTAAAAAACTTCTAAATCTGCTAATTCTCAATACCATCCAAATACTTTAAGCAATTACAGAAATCTAGTAATTGATAAATTCTATTTACAAACAGTAGATGAATTACACTTTGACATGCGGCATGGTAAAATTAAATCCCGCATTGAACCAATATGGAATAATTGTGATTACAGCTGACTTCATGCAGAGATATTTATCATATCCACTGTGATGATAAAATGCTCTCCACTCACCCCTGAATCAGCAGG